CAGGTTATGTGACATACCTGGGTATGTTTAAGAGTAAGTAAGCGGATAACCTCAACTTTCGGTTCCAAAAACGGAGGTAACTTTCAGGGTATGTTAGTAGTCATAGCAACTCACTCTCTGAACTTAACCTGCTCCGGAGCAGCTTATGTTCCAGGGTTAGTTTGTTTCAGAGAGGTGACAGAGCATAGCGTCCCCTGACCATCTTAGTTACATATAGCACTACTTAATCTAACCCTACTTTATACAGTCACAATAATTTTAAATGTTTCTAATTATATAACTTTCAATTTCAGGGTTCCCAAATGTGATTGGGTGCATTGATGGAACCCACATTCACATTAAAGCTCCTTCCATCAATGAAGGAGACTGTGTATATAGGAAGTCAATGCATAGCATCAATGTGCAGGTGACAATAGATTTTTTGGATGCTAAATGTTTGGGTGTTTAAACCATTAAATCACCCTCATCACTGGTCCCCACTAACTAGGTAATATGTGGCCAAGAGGAACCCCCAGTGAACCCAGTAGACCAAAGAGATGGCAGGGTGGTACAAGAAATGATTTGCCAAAATCACTTTAATTAAAACCAGTGAACAGTCAAGTGTTGTTCATTGTTTCTTTATTTCCTGTAACAAAAGACATTTGTATTTATTGCTTTAGATTTCATTCAACAACAAATGACAGATTAATGTTCACATACTGTTTCCCACCTTAAGCTGGTGCTCCAGCAATTCAATTTCAAGTCTGGCCTTTTTTAGGTTAAGCCTTTTCTCCTCCATTTGAAGCTGTATAAGGTCCATCTCCATGTCACTTTTTCTGATTTGCTTTTAAAGGTGGACCTTATACAGCTTTTTGGCAGGCAACTAGAAAGACTAAAAAAAGTCTGTAATACAAACACAGACCAAATATTTAAATGAGGAAGGAGAACTGCAGAACATTTCTTACACTGCTAAGATTCTGTGTGGTATATATGTTTATATTCTGTAAAATGACAATGACAATTTATTTATTCTCTTGTGTAAAAAAGGGGGAATGCATTCTATGCATCATACCTCTATGGGCCTCCCCACATTTTCTGTTTCTGTCACAGCAGAAGTGGTCTCTTCATCATCATCCTACAGTGAAAATAAGGAAGGATGCTTGGTCTAGCAAACAGAAACCTAAAGACAATAATCACTTACAACTGTGACAGAGTGTGGTGTTGCAGGAGGATCCAATAATACAATGTGGCCATCAGCAACTGCAAGATAATTAAACCATGATAATCATGCATATTCAATTCTCAATGTATATTCTTAAGCAAATACAACTAATAAAGAAGGACATTAGGAGCATCTAAGTACTAGTAATAAGATTACAGTATACAGCATATGCAGTCAGAGCAGCATGCACACTGCACAAGTGAATCAATGACTGTAAAATGAATTCAAAATGCCTTTTTAAAATGGTGACAGTGTTGATGATTTTATTTATTAAAACACTGACAAAAACAGTGTAAACATCAATAAATCATAAGTATTAATATGGTACACCTACATTTTACTAAGCCACTTGTCTTGGTAGCTGAGTCTGACGAACTGACCCCTGGAATCCCATCGACCACAGGTGGCCCTTTATTAAGGGACAGTGCCAGCTCCTCAGCTCCCTTCTTTCTATTGGCTACATAGAAAACTAAATTACATTTAATACTAAATTAGTATTAAATGTCAGTAACAAGTTTAGAAAGTTTAGAAAATATTACCTTGCTGGAGAATGTTTTTGTGTTTCATTTTGACTTGGCTCACACTTCTTCTGGCTCCAGAAGGATTACACCTGATAAAACGAGAAGCCAACATATAACTAGCCAATTATGTGCATTACTACTGTAATATTAAGAAATGTATGGAGGCCAACAAGTAAATACTTGTCTATTTTTACTACATGCCCCCAAAGAATTTTTGCGTCACAAATTATGAATGGGGTAGGCTATTTTCCCCTTTCATTGTGACTCACAAAGGGAAAATACCCCATTTATAATTTTCTAAACTCAAGCATTTACTCTGTCCATTATTATTTGCCAAGCCAACTTTCTTTTGCTGATGCAGCGGTATTGCTTTTTTATTTATTTATTTATTTTTATAATGGGCTTAGGCTATAGTCTTCATAAGCAAGCATTAAAACCTCCAACTCAGTTTCACCGAAGTATCGTATGTAGCTCGCTTTTCTTCTCCCTTGGTTTCCATGGTGACTCCTGAAATCGGCGATCCATTGAAAATGTCTTTATGTACTCGTCGTGCGCGCGCATTAACTCTGGGTTACCAATAGGAGGTTGATTAAACTAACTCAACATAGGTGTTTTGGAACCGACATACCCAGAGTAAGCAAGTTTGGGGTTAACCAACCAAGAGTTCAAGGTTTATCAGACGGTAAGTTAACCTTGCTTTCTGGAATACACCCCAGGATGCATAGATATTTTTGAATGGCCATGGAGAAATGTGTTTTTTTTGGAGCCAATTTAGTGTAGTTACAGTCTCTACCAGCAGAGGCTGATCACGTGTTGTGTTAGTTTGCGTTGGTCACGTGTCAGTTTAAAAAGTTGATATGTGTGTATGGAAGCCAATTCCCGCCATATGAGGGAGAAAAAAAAACGAAATTATGACATAAAAGTGATAATTATGACATACACATATTTTATATAAATATTTATAACATACAAATTCATAATTAATGAGATAAATGGCTAAATTATGACATAGGCTACTAAATTATAATTAAAAAGTCAAAATATTGGATAAAAAGTCGAAATTTACGTTTACTCTTTTACTTTCCCAACCTGTTTCTTGTAATATTTCTCTCAGTGCTTTTATCCATACAGTACAGTGGCATAGTGTGAAAAGAAGTTTGCATTGCCAAAACACTAATATAGGAGAAGTGATTGAGACGAGCATAACAGCTTCATCAAACAAGACCTGCTTACACATGAGAAAAACAGCCGCGAAATATGTGCTTTATGACATTTATGACGCGACTTCATATCGAGTGACTAGTGTCGGCTGCAGTTCCCGCTCTGGCCGGCAGGTGTCGCTGTTTATCTGGAAATCACCGCGGAGCCTCGCGCGAATCAACCAGTGCTGTTGTCTTGTTTTGTTTTTTAATCAATTAAAGTGAATTTATTTGAAAACAGAGGATTTTAGGACTACTATAATATCCATGGCTAAGACCTGAAAAAAACACACTTACTTCCCAAAAAATAGATTATTATCTTTAGTTAATTTTTCAATTTATAGCCCATAATACGGGAAAGGCAAAAAAAAAAAAAAAAAAAAATGTGGCAAATACAACAAACACTCTTATAATTATAATTATTATACTGTCTTTGATCTTAACGTATTTATGTCAGAGCATTTGTTTAAATAGGCTAAGTTACTCACCGGATTTGGTTTAGATGAGGGTTTATACCGATGTTATAGTTTATAAAGTAAAAATATCTGTAGCAGAACTGATTAAATGACGTCATGCATGTTTTACACGTTAAACAAAAGACAAACAAAACACTGGATACTTTTCACAAACTATTAAAATGCAGTAATGTGTCAACAAACACTTTACATGATCTAAATATAGCCTAATGTAAATACAATCAAGCTTTTGCTTTTAAAATAAAGGGAAATATAAAGAGAAATAATAATAATAATTATAATAATAATTCACTCGGAAATGTAAATTGTTTCCCCTTTTTTTTTTCTGACAGACAGTGATTTTATTACAGTCAGAATTACAACGACTTTAGAATATGAAATTACAGATTAACTCAGTAAATTAAAATGACACAAACCGGCCTTCTGTTGATCATGAGGATTACATGACGTTTAGGAATATTATGATAAAACAATATATCAATAAATGAGTTTTTAAATGCAAATTACAAAGATAAAATAACCACAAAAACACAAGCCACAATTAACTCTTTTGTTGGTTAACGTCTGTAAATAAATAGAAATAATTGGAGAGTCCTGTTATTATTATAATGGAAAGTCATATTTCAAAAGGCGCATTTCATTTGATGAAGGTCTAAATAATGTTTGAACCCTTTTAAAATCCATGGTCATATTTCACTGACAGATCCATAAAGCATCCGCAGATGATCTGTGTCTGCGCAGTTCACGGAGATTACGAGGAAACAACACGGAACATTACAGATGTGAAACACAGGCACAATAATAACAGATAATTTACAAACACATATTAATATCTACTGCATATTTAGAGTAATGATGATATCACACAAGGAGGAATCTTTAGATATGATCAGCATCAGTGAGTTTAATATCTGAAGACTGAATTAAACAAGACTGGGAATTAAACCGTCGCTGAATATTTGCATTTAATTTTAGACTTTTTTTTTGTTTTATTTTTTTCCCCATGCGAATAATATATTTTGAGGATAATTTTTTGCAACAAATCATGCAGTTACAAGGTCTCATGTCATTTGTAAAACTGTAACATATTCTTGCAACATTTTATACGCTAAAAACGGCGAGCTACATTTCCAATAAAATAATACAAATTTTCGTTATTAAGCTTTAATAGGCCTTTAAATGCAAGAGAGACGCAGACAACAGGCGACGCGTAATATTTCATGTGTTAAAAAAACTAGATGAAACTGAGTTACAAGCTCTTATACAAGGAGCGTAAGTTTTAATAACCACTTAAATATTTTTCGCATTTTATCTTATAACTACAAACTCGATCGCGTTAAAAAAAACGGTTAAGTTTATTCTAAACGGAACGTTTAAATAATCAAATTAGCGGGTTTTAATATCATTAGCGACACCGTTGTATGAGGTTAATGTACTTACTCTGCCAGAGTCATAAAGTAAACGCGTCTATTGTGTCAAATGTTGAAACAATGATTTCTACAGTGCGACGCGTCATTAAAGGCGCTACAATACGAGCTTCATGGAGTGCGGCTTTGTCCAGGTTACGCGCATGCAAATTCGCCGCCGCGCTTCCTCCAATCAGAGAATGGCGTCACTTAGCGTCATCCAATAGGAGACACGCGCTTGCCGGTTATCAGCTCGTCATCACTGATAGAGTCCATTGACCGGAGATCGGCGCCTCAGATGCGGGGATCGAAGCACTCAAAGCGGGCGTGAGATCTGCCGACGACCGCTGTCTGGATTCTGCTTCGGAAACTCCCACACTCGCCTGAACTAGGACACTTCTGTATGGGGAAACATTCGCAAAACTTGTGAAACTCGCAGTATCCGTTCCCTTGGATGAGTTGTTGCACTAAACTTTGTTGTACTACTTTGTATGTGTGTTGTTGTTTGGCGGTTGATCGTGTGGTTCACACGCACCGATGTTAGCGGTCGGGCAGATGGATAGTAACCGGCAGAGTGCGTTCGTTCTGGGCAGCACTCCACTGGCTGCGCTGCACAACATGACCGAGATGAAGACCTCTTTATTCCCGTACACCCTGCAGAACCCCGCGGGCTTCAAGGCTCATTCTTTCGCCAACCTGAACTCTCAGATCCCGCTCGGAACACCGCATGGAATAAGCGATATCTTGGGGAGACCCATCACCACGGCCGGACAGCTTCTCTCGGGCTTTCCCCGGATCAACGGCTTGGCCACAACAGCTGGGATGTACTTCAACCCGGCGGCCGTGTCTCGGTATCCCAAACCCCTGACGGAGCTGCCCGGCAGGGCGCCCATATTCTGGCCGGGAATGATGCAAGGGTCGCCCTGGAGAGACCCGCGGGTTGGCTGTCCGGGTGAGTTCTCCTAGCCTAAATGACAATCTAAACAGTCTTACTTTAAAAAACAATAAAGGTTTCAAAAGGGTTTTTTCCACTGTAACCGTTTTGGGTTCCAAAAATATCCAAATAATAATAAAATTAATGTGTATATACAAAATAATAATAATAATCCTTTCAGTGATTAGTTCTAATATATTTTAACATAAAATATTTTTTCTAACATTTTAACAATCTAAAGAACATATTTCCTATTTAGAATTTTTGTGTGGCTAATGGAAAGATTCCATTAAAGGTTCTTCATGGAACCATCTATGCCAATAGGCTAAAGAACCGTATTTTTAAGAGTCGCTCAGATTGTTGGAATATTAATTTGCAGTGTGTCTAAAAGTTATGGGTCTCTCGTGACATGACAACCATATTTTCCTCATAATGTTACGTTAAATGTCTTTATTTGGCTGACCGTGTCTCGTTTTCTTCAGCCCAGGCGAATATGATGCTGGACAAGGATGGCAAGAAGAAACATTCCAGACCAACTTTTTCAGGACAGCAGATTTTCGCGCTGGAGAAAACCTTCGAACAGACCAAATACCTGGCCGGTCCAGAGAGAGCTCGCCTCGCATATTCTCTGGGCATGACCGAGAGTCAAGTCAAGGTAGATAGAGACGGGGTTTTATTAACTTGAACATATTATTAATTATTATTTACTCAATGTAGGCTGAGACAATGCTAAGATTATTATATCTGTGGAAGTGTCAGTTGGGCTGTGTGCGATTCCGTTAAAACCGTTGGGTTCAAATTTTAATTAAAAATGTTAAACCAACGGTTTAAACGGTACGAGTCCATTTCGTGTAGATTTGACCCAAATATGTGTTGAAACAACCCAGATTTTTTTTTTAGAGTATATGAATTTACAAACAAGCTCAACATTTTATTATTTTGAAATGAAAATTATTGGGATTATTGCGGTCAATGTTGCGCATCATTTCACACCGTTAGGCATTTACACACTCTCTGGTCAACTTGAAATTCATTTAGCACTATAGTTCAATTTAGATGAATTAATTATTTTTTAAAAGCTTGGTTTAATTCATTGAATTGTTGCATGTAGGCTATCCCAGAGAAGGCCCGTGTGCTGAAGTGTTTTTCTGTCTCTCTCTCAGGTTTGGTTTCAGAACAGAAGAACCAAATGGCGGAAGAGGCACGCGGCTGAAATGGCCACGGCTAAAAAGAAACACGACTCAGAGACGGAGAAAATGAAGGAGAGTTCGGACAACGAGGAGGATGATGAATATAACAAACCTCTGGACCCGAACTCCGACGACGAGAAAATCACAAGACTGTTGAAAAAGCACAAGACGAGTAACCTGTCGCTCATCAGCCCGTGCAGTAACAGCTCGGACACTTTGTGATGAAACTGAGCAAAAGACTCTTCATTATCATCATCATCATCATCATCTGCCTCAGATTCTTCTGGGAAAATGAGGCAGAGTTAAGCAGGGTATAAACACACTGTTCACGCGGCTTTTGCTTTGCTTTGAATGCGGTTGTACAGTTAGAAGTGGACGTGAGATGTATATATATTTTTTACTGAGTAAATTATGTTATGAAAGCATCACGAAGACGTGCCAACTTTCCCCTCATCATCATCATTTAAGATCATCTTTGTCTTCGATCGCAGAAGAATAACGACGCCTCTTTCGCCTAAAAGTTTCACTTTTTTTATTATTTTGAAAACAGGTACACAAAGTGTATAAAAGTGCCAGTGCTGTAAATTATGTGAATAGAATTTGTTTTAACAATGTCCTATTGGCCGCTTATACTTTCAATGGAAGGAGTTTATGTTTTACCTCACAACACGAAAAAATCTACTCAAAGATGGACATAAATATCGATGAAGAGAATATTATTGCTTCCGTGATGAAGGAAGAAAAAACTTTGTATTATCAATAAATTATTTAACAAGCCAATATTTTACATTTGTCCTGGTTCTTTATAATTTCATGCATTTGTTTACTGTTGTTTAAACCATTTTGTTGTGTTATTGTAGCGCATATTTTTGAGCTCGGCCACGCGAAAGGTGCAAACAAATGCATATTATATATCCGTGCATTAATAGGCTATTATTAATAGCATAATAATGATAGTAAAATTGTTGCTAATAAGATCATAAACATTCATTCGCCTTTTCCCTTGTAATAAGAGGAATTTTTCGTCTCTTTTCATGGTTACTTACAGACATTTAGAGTTTTTTATTTTTAAGAGCCCAAACTTCAGGGACAGAAGGCCTTTAATAATGCATTCACAGATTTTCTGATATATGTATTTCTTATTCTAAACGAGCCTTTTTGCGTGCGAATCGTTTAACAGATTTCAGGAAGGCTAACTTTTTTTGTCAGTGTTATTCGCGGATTTGAGTAATGCAAAATGTCTCGTGACCCCATCAACCCTTAAAGAGACCTTAAACAATTTTTTTTGTGATATATACATTTATTTTTAAAGTTATGCCTATAAGTAATGACAGTAGGCTACACTACTTCGCAAACGATTTCGTTATTGATCGTAACGAAAAACGCGCGTATAGCGATCTCGCGAGCATCTACTATAACTAACGTGTAATCTAACTTTTGTGGTTACAAAAATATTCGTAAACGTTGTTAAAAAGTGTTAATATATATATAATTACATGACATATTTCCGAATCTTTAGTTTGTGGGAGTTTTATGCGTCATGTGACTTGCGTAATTTAATCCCGAGACATATTAAAACATCCCACCATAACAAATTATTAGGCTATATCATGTTCAATAATATATTAATTTTTATGAACAGTTTGATGAACACAGAATATCATTGTATAATGTAATATTGTTAATATTAACATTATTACCCCCCCCCCCCCCCCCCCCCAACAAAAAAAAAACACAATAAATGTTCATGCACGATCATCTACAATGATGGAAAATACATCTAAATGTCAAAGGCTTTTTAGCGAATCTCAAGGGCTTTCTGGTGTGCTTGACTAATGACAAAGAGGCATTGATTCATTCATTCATTCATTGAGTTCTAATGGTTTTATTGCTTTTGGAGGTCTTGCCATCCGCGAGGTCTAATCGCTATCTGCTTAAAGAAAGAGTGAATCCTATCTCCTGACCTGCTGGGGAAAACAGTTAACAAGCAGTTTTTCTAAGCAAATCACTGTCAAGGCGACACAAAATCATTCCCACTGACTCAGAAATGAAGGATCCATCTAATCTGTCAACTCTGTAGTGTAGAATTAAACCAGGAGGAGCAAACGGCACTGATGCTGAGAACACACACACACACACACATGAGGAGTTAACACTCACACTTTACTGTACAGTGGTCATGTAACAGTGTGATCCAAGTGAAATACACACACTTCATATGTGATTATGTTTGTAAAAACACATGGTGTGTAAAATGGACACTGTAAAGTAAAGTGTACAGAAGTTTCTCCTGGTCCTTAATTTGAGTGTTTCTCCTCTTACAGCTGAACTGAATCATAACTTAAACTCTACATTTGACTGAGTTCAATTCAATAGTTGGCACCATGGCACAATAATATAGAAACAGAAAAATCATACAAAAAAAAGAGAGAGAAAAGGATACAGCTATTTTTAAGATACCCAGGCCTATTAAAATATCACATTCAGAACCATAACATTATTACACAGAAATAAGTTAAGAGTAAGAACAGTACTGTAATAACCGAGCAAGACTGCTATTGAAACTATCATATATATTTGCATGGTTTATGGCACTGCTTAAAAAAACCCTTTAAATTGGCTATATATATATATTTATATATATAAATCATATTGGCTGAAATGGCATATTCTGCTAATAATGATGTGGATTTCGTAGTTTGTTTATAACTATTCAAACATGTGAAACTTTACACCCAAAGCAGCTGTTCGTATCAATATGTCAGCATAATAGTTTTGGTACGAATTATAAATTATCTCTTTAAAAAGTACAGTATATAAAATGAGAGTTGGCGGTTGTACGCGGCACGGTGACGGCAGAGTGCAAGCAACAACAAATCAGAGATCAAAGATAAACAATAATCCATAATCCATAATCCATAAAGAAAAAAATCAAACCAACGCTTGAACAGAATATACCTATCTATTCTAACACAAAGAACGTCTAGAAATCTCCATTAAAGATAATCCAATGTACAAATAAACCTAACAATAGAGAAATACAACAACATTTTTTTTGCATTGCACCTTTTAA